TCATACTGTTGCTATGATAACCTATTGTGTCACGAAAATGACAACAACGTGTTCACCAATGATTGGGCAGTTTTTTGATACCATGATTGAAGCATCAAGCGACAAAGAGTGGTTATAATGACCCATCAAAATCTAAGTGCTGGAAAATGTTTTGAGCCACCTTAAACTGAAACGTAACTGATCTTGTTTTGGGCGTTCTGGCGTTCTCTGTGCTCCGGCGGGTTTTGATCAGTGCATGCTTTGTAGATTACCGCGTAGAAGCAATTCCAGATTATTAAGCATGTTCTACTACTTGTGTAACAAGCTAACTTGGTCCTAACACACGATGTAACATTGCGCACAGCTTTAAGCTGCACCGTGGCAGATACCACTAAAATTATTGCTAAAACATTGCACGTAACAATCTCGAAGTAAATAGCGAAGCAGAAGTTTAAGTGCACAGGACGAGTCAATTTTGTTACACACAAAGTTTCTCGCGCAAAATTTTCATCGCGCGCGTTATTTAAGTTCGCGTCATAGCGCGGCCAGTTTTAATCTCGAGCGTTACTTCGCGTCACCACGAAAAAGAAGGGCGTGTTCCCAGTGTATTACATTAACACTTCTTCTGGCCCTTTCAGGAACTGCTTTATGCCCTGCAAAAACTCAATTAGAAGTTGATGGCTTGAAAAGCTCAACAGTTGATGTTAACGAGTTGCCTCCAAGATTTTGCACAAATATTTCTATCGCGAGATAATTGACAAGGGTGCAGCCATCGTCAACCACCACGCATGGAAATCGAAAGCGAATAATCTAATTGTTTTAGTATACTGATCTACTAGTTGTTCAAAACTTTATCTAAATCCTCTTCACAGACACTTAGAAAACGCAAAGAAGCGGCCGCCAGTTCGTTAACAAGCGCGCACTGCTAGGCTACGCACCATCTACAACAGAATAGATAGTGAGTAGCGCAGCAAATCAGAGACGTAGTAGATTTATACTAAAACTTGACAGAAACACGGAAAATGCTTTCTATTTTTTCTAATATTAAACATACTTAGAAATTTCCGGTATTTTTTCGACATGAACTAATTTTGAACATTGCCAGCGAAAAGACTTACACATTATGTGCTAAAGAGATCTTTAAGATTAAAAATTAACCGTTTAAACAATTTGGACAAAAGACTCAAAAACAGTTTTAAAATCCTTTGTTATGAAAATGCTCTTTCAATTAAGTTTGTGTGTTTAATTTCTATGTGTTTAATGTCTCCCTTAAATTAGTCAAATATGGAAGTATGAAAGCGTGGTGAAACCTTTTTTCTTTTAAAACTGGAGAACATAAATTCAGTGCCTTAAAATAAAAGCACAGTGATCCAGATATTCGTTAAACATTTTTTATGCCTCAGTAGATTTTTGAATTCAAGATTATTTTTTTGCGTAAAGAATCGAGTTTTGAAGTGGAGCTCCTGGTGAAATTCAACACCCGAGTGAAAAAAGCAATATCAGGGACCTATTTGTTTCTTTTCGCTCGTCTAGTTCCAGTGAAAGAACCAAGCATTCCATTTGTTAATAGGGTTAAATATTTCTTTCCATCGTTATGTACGACTGTAATTAAATTTCCTGAGCAAAATACACAATGAAGCTCAGTAATTGAGAAATGATGATCACGTTCTGTTTTTCTCAAGAGTAAAGTCGGCGTTATTTGTCGAACTTAGAAGTCAACGCGAAAACTGCGTTAGGCACTATGGGCTTTGTAGTAGAACTAAGAATATGTAAAATGTCTGTTTGGTTGGCAATATATATCTGGGTGATTTTCTGATATATTCTAGTTTCGCCTGTTTTGTTTGTTGCCCAGAGTTACAAATTTGCTTGGTCGTCTTATTTCACATAAGATGGTGAAGAGAGACACATTGCCGGCGGTAATTATGGTGTTTTAGCCTTATTTTAATCAGAAGTTTCTATCATTAGTCAGTGGTCAATTCGCCTTGTAATATTAAAACGGTAAATACGATTTATCTTAGAGTTGAAAATTTTGACCATTTGTTTACATTTGTGGTGGGCGTTTTGTCATTTCGTGTGTGTATGTATTATTAAGCTATGACTGTTTGTCAGTTTTCATTTTGACAGTAGCTAAACTGACCTGCACTGTAAACTCCTGGCTTGTACTGTATCTCTTAAAACCTGTGTCTATACCCTTTAAAAACGTTTTAAAGCATGTTAGGTAGTTAAAACAATTTATACCTGTGTACCAGTGGCGATCAGCAGTTGACACAGCGATATAACATTTCTTGACCAACGTTCACAATTTTTCTCCTCCCCACAAATAATTTACGCCGTTTTTGAAGCTGTTCGTTAGAAAGCCGAGAAGGGAGTTCAGGATATTTACAATGCTAAATACACCCAAAACTTTTACAGATACCCTGATTGGTTTTATGGTGTAAATGCGAAGTGCTGATTGATTCCGAGAAGTGCATTGTTGTCTGAAAGCAGACAGCCTGATTAATATAGCAAAATGAACTTGAGAGGCTTGTGCGTGAATGTCAAGCTTGTCTCCGGAAAAGGCACAAAGAAGTGTATTTTCTTTATAGCTACACTCTGCCATCTTGGCAGCCTTCTGTGTAGAAGTGGCATGGAGGAGACAAACCCGAAACTATACTCATTAATAACAGCCAATCAGATTAGCTCCATTTCGTCATGATGTATTTAGCTGATTGGAAGAACGGACAGATTATGTTACCGTCTCCACTAGATAGTTCCCAGGTGTCCCTCTATTGTTGAAACGCGGTGCGCGTGGAATTCTGTCGGACTAGCTATCAAGCGGCGCGCTCCCTGTTCCGCGCTGTTCTTTGACGAAAGGCAAGTGCGCGCTCCTCGGGAAGCAACGGTAAATTCTTGACGCTTTTTTTGTTAATACACCGGGCGCTTTCCATTCGGCCAAAAAATTTCCGGTTTGAATCCCCACAAATTTCGTGTGGCGAATGAAACCTTATATTCCGAAATTTCTGTGAAAGAGGACAACCACGTGAGTTATACCCAAATGTCCTTTTCATTTGATTTTCTTCCTAAAACGTTTCAAGTACAGTTTCGTACCATTTACCTCCGTTTTGAAACTTCCAGAATATGAAATACGTAAACTTTTGTTCTGCATTCTGCTTTCATTACCATTCCTAAATTTTCGCTGTGAAAACCGTTAGTAATAATCCAGAAAACAAGGACACAGATGGCCTGAAATACATTGCGCTAAATAGAAAATAAAACTGAAGTTTGAAATTCATTTAGGAAACATTTTACGGAAAAGATTCAGGACTGAAGATGCGCCAAAGCAAGTCGCTTTTGATGTTTTTGCCATTTACTTAATTTTGCTCTGGATTGTGACAGTTTCGAAAGAGAATTGATCGAAAACGTACCTAACAATATGAGTCCTTTACTTACTTTCTAGAAGTCGACCTACCCTTAAACAACCTCAAATCTAGTCCACTTTCCTTTCAGCCTGTTCACGCCAACTGATACGAGTTGTTTTCTTTCTGTGAATTGTTGTGACTTCGTTTTTATATTATTTTGCACTATTTAAGTGCCATATTCGGGTGCGTCACATTAACACCTCTGGCAACCATCGTTGTTTTCACTGTCCTGGCAGCATTTATTGGCATCTATCTACCTGCCATCAATGTGGCTTGACCGACATCGCGCAACAATTCATGTAAACGCACGTTTTCCTTCAATAAACCTGAAGAAGGCTGTTGTTGGCCAGCCGAAATACTGCAAAGCAATTACCTCAATCCTTGCAGTATCTTCACATACATGGAAAGATAAATTTAACCTTTAAAATTAATTGGAACGTTTTCAGTTTTGTTTAAGATTGTTTCCATAGCAACGTTAGGAAATGTCCAATCAAGAAGACAGTACACTTGTTTTACAAGATTAAAATTAATTAATTTTCACGCTATGCCCGGGTTGCTAAAGAAACAACTAAGCGTGGAAAACACGATTATTAAATTAAGTATCTTTGTGAAAATTTTGCGCTTAGACTGTCAGTAATCGTTTTTTTTTCTGAACTCCTCTTCGTGTCAGTACAGCCGTCGCTTTCTCAGAGTCGAGTATATGCGTCGCACGTAAAGAGAAAGAAACTTTTGCGGTGTGGGTAGCGCCGGCTTTTCAAGACCAGTTATTTTCTTTCAAATACTTTCTTTTTTTCAATATAACAACTGAACTGACGCTGATTTGAGATTGAGACTTCTTATTATTCAGTCGAAAACTGACGCTCTGAAACAGTATTGTGCACAGCATCAAGTTAAATATTATTATATGCTGCGAGGCTATGTTTAGAGCTAAGTTTAATACGTCACTGACACCAATTGATAAAATAAAGACGTGGTGTCTTCTTCTAGTCGATGCTCTTAGCTTTTGATCTTTGATCAAAAGCTTTGCCAGTTTCAGCCTTAGAGGTTATTAACGAGAAGAGGGTTTTACAGAATGTACAGTTGAATGTACTCAGAAAAATCATTTACACTTTACTCAATAAACCTAGTTTCAGGATTAAACCTTTTCAAAATTTGAAAACATAAACAACAATGATACGGTTTTCTTTGGTCTGTTCTAGGTTCTCACAGATTGGCTAAATAAACGCATCAACTAAAAATAAAATGAACATTATTGTAAGCTTTACTTGAATTTTACAAACGTAACGTGAAGAAGTGGGTTGCAAACTTACGACACTTATATGTTACAATATTGATACTTTTATACCTCTAAATTTAATTAGTTTATTAACTACTAAACATTTTAAAGTCTTTTTTTGAGTAACAAAGTCGGAAACCGCTCTTGTCTCTCGAGTAACTTGTACTTGTTCAGTTTCTGCGAGTAAACGTTAATTACAAAGGACATTGACTTCTCAAGAGACCGTGCAGCAAAGCGTGGGAAACTTTGGCAAGATGTATAATTAAATCTGTATCTCACATCTTGTCTAACAAAATTTGCTTGGGATTATTCCTTTTAAAGTGAACGTTGACATGGCAGTTTTCTGAAACCTTCCCTAGTTGACAGGAGTCCTGTAGTTAATCATTATGATGTGGTCCCTAGCTTAAAGAGTCAACATGCTCGCGAAATAGATGACTCGTAATTCCTTTTAACATCAGCTGGAAAGAAAGTGTTTTATACAGACTGGGTAAATTCTTGTTCATTGATCTCTTCTCATTCTGTACGGAGATGACTATCGTTAGAGTTAAGATATACAAAGCGTTCATGAGAAGTATACTACTTATCTCTTGGGTGAAAGTAGCCACCAAAAGCCTGCTACGTTTTTGACGTACGTGCGTTCGTTATCTGCGAAAACTATGTGTAGTAATGATATGCAGTGCAATACAAGGGAGAGGAAACGAAAATCATAAACTGGAGTTTGTTTTGCTTTGCGCATTACACGAGTGCCACAGAGTTCTTATTTTGAGCTTTTTTACCCGCCATTACAGGCCCTTCCTGTGATGTTTTCGTTAACCAGAAAGCAAACCAATAAAGCAGCATAAATGCTGGCTATGAGCACTGGGCTTATACAGCTTCGTAAAAGGTTTTGGATGGAACTGATAACTGGGTTTGATTATATATCGGGAGGTTTATAAGGGAGATTTTGTTTAGAAATTAAATTAAATTGCTAACAGGACATGACTTAGAATTTCTGATGAGAGATATATAGAAAGGAAACCACTGATCAAACGTTTTGATCTGCACTCTAGTTCCAAACTTATTCAGGGTCTATCTCTGTTAAAGCTCTATAAGGACGTTTGTAAATTAAAAAAGAAAAGTTGAGCGATTAAGGGCTTTTATCTAGATGGGGCTAGAATAGAACTGTATGTCTTTTCCTCAGCTGACAGATTGGCCTTGAACGGTCTTGAAACGGACCTGGATGGGGACTATAACCGCCATTTTACGATATTTTAACAGGCCTAGCTTACAAACACAAACCCCGTGCCCCTTATCATCGTAACAACAACTGTTACTCTGTTCTTCTCCGTCATTATATGAACCACCACCATCCCCGCAGGAGTTAGTTTCGTTACCTCCACTAGTACCCCCTGAGTAGCTGCCTCCACCTCCAGCACCCCCTCCATTTCCGTAACATCCTCCACCACCACCGAACCCTCCTGTAGCATTATTTAATAATGACCTTCCCTCCACTCCACCCTGGAGGAATCCTTGCCCGCCTTCTCCACCTCTTCCATATAGTCCACCCTAGTCGAACGAACTTCGTCCTCTTTTCAGGAATCCCCTACCACCTCCTCCTGGGGAGAAAGGAAGCATGCTGTTAACGCTGTCAATCATATCCTGTTGCTAGGCAAATATTGCAGTTACTCTGATAAATGCCTGAATAACAGGCCTTCTCTCGCCTTTGTTGCAGCCGCCCTGCAACACAGGTTAGCCTTCTCTTCGAGGTTTTGTTTTTGATTGCTGCATCATAACCTTTATGTTCACGATAATCATTACCGTTTTCGTTTACAAAAGCTTTTGCAACCCTGTATGTATTTATGGTCATGCAAATGAAGCTAGTTGTTGTTGTTGTTGTTGTTGTTTATGTTGTTTCTAACGCAGAGGAGAGAGCGTGTAAAGGAAATTGAGCCACATATTGCTAGGAAAAGAGACAGGCTTTCTTATTGCTTATCTAGCAAATTACAGGTAACTGGTCGGTTGCATCTAATTAAGAGGAGCGAGCGCTTATTTGTTTTTTGTTGTTGTTGTTGTTGTTGTTTTTCATCCGTTTAAGTGTATGATAAAAAACTGAACGTTAGCGCTATGAATTCTCTTGCGATATCAGTGTATTTTTGCTTAAAAAGGTAGTTAATGAGATGAAGAAAATAGTAAACTACTTTAAGGTTCTAACCCTTATTGTTATTTCGGGCCGCAGTTTTGCTCTCGTCTCGGTTTCCGCGCGGTTAGAATGCACTAAACGTTTTGCTCATGCAGGAAAACTAGCTTTGAGCTAACTATGATCTAGTGACATTTTAAGTTTGGTTGCGGATAACCACTGACCTGAAAAACCACTGTCGGCAGTATTTGGTGGCTTGCCATTACTCCCCCAGTCCAAGCACTTCCACAACAGGCAGCAAACCCTGAATTCCCGGATGTATTGCGTGACAGTTGGTATTCAGAGCGCTCAGTGTTTGTCTTCCTCCACCTCCCCCGGCTATTATCAATGGGGTGTTATTAGAGTGTACGACAAAAGTAACCCTCCTCTCCCCCGCCAGAAGCTGACAATGTGGTCACGCCTCCTTCTTGGCTAACTAAAGTTTTCAGGATTTCGCCTTTCTTGAATTTAAAGGTGCCAACCATTCGTGCGCCATAACCACGAATTTCTGGATTAATTTAAAGAACGCTGCTTTAATATTTCTAGAGTTATTCTCGATTGAGTGATGTACTGTTTTAGTGGAACCACCTATGACGTCATCATTTTCCTCATTTGCATAATACAAAAACGTAAATATCTCTAAAACGAAAAAGATATTCCAAAAAAGAAAATGCCATTCTTTACTTTGAAAGGCCTTTCAAATAAGCAGCAATTATTTTTTTACTTCATGGGCACTTAAGAGCAGGAATAAATTTTGAGAAACAATATGAGGGCGGTTAAATGCATGAAGTGTTTTTCTGTTTTGTTCCGTCTTTTACTTAGACCACTGCAGCCTTAGCGATCCCAAAGCAACTCTTCTGTGCATGGGCTTCCAATATTATCTAGCTTGCAGAGCGAATTCTGTCTCTCCTTAGTTCTTCAAGTTTCATTTTCACACCTTCAGTTACGGCATTTATTTCTTGAAAATCTTCCAACGTTTTATACATTTCCACTTTTAGCTTGGACAACTCCCTTTCTATAACGTCAAAATTGCCATGTTCCAGCGAAGTGATACCTTTGGATTTCTTCGTAGCTATTTCGTGAATATTCGGTAATGACTCGTTGAAGCTCGGTGGATCTCGTGACAGTGTCACAGCTGTGTTATTGTTAGTGAGCACTTCATTGTTTATATCCGAAGAAAAATTGGAAAGTCGCGTGGGTCTCTTTTGTCTCGGTAAATCCGCCGTTGATATTTTTCCTTGCTCAATATTATCAATGCCATTCCTCAAAAAAGACTGCGTTGTTCCAAATTTCCGACTTCTTTCGCTCGCATCTGGTATATTGCCCTCGTTGTTTTTCTCCCCTAACAGATGCTGCTGTTCAGTTGTTTTTTTCGTAGTTTCCTGAGAGATCTTTCGTGGAATTGATGTTTTTCTCCCCTCTTGAGTCTTTGACCCTTTACCAGTAGTTTCTGGATCAGACTCACTGTTACTAGAATCCGATTTTAGCTTCGTGTTGGTTGCTAACGCGAATGCCAGTCTCTGGCGCAATAACTTGGCAGCTTTTCCTTGACCAGTTAATGATATTTTCTGAGGAGTCTCCTGCTTGCCTTTTTTCACGTCCGTATTAGAGGAAACACTGTCTCCTTCACCGCTTACTCGCCGTGGAATTCTACTCGAACTCTGCATCTTCCCCTTAGTGCGTTTCACTTCGTTTGTGGCATTTCTGAAGCTAATCTGTTCTTGATTACGTTTTCTAGAATCATTGATCAACGACAACCCATATGCATCAATTCAGTTAATCAACTTCAAAATAATATTTACCTTTATAAAGCTCGGTTTGAAACAAGGAAATGAAAGATGACTGACTGTTGTTTTGTTTTTGCGCCTGCAGTATAGCACGACTGAAATTCTAGAAGATAAAAACAACTCAACACTTCACTATTATTAGACATGATCTTTATTTTGACTTCCTTTCTGTATTGCGTGATGTTCTGAGACATGCTAAAAGCCTAGCTTAACTTCCTGAGCATAGATGTTTAAATTGAAATGTAACTTTACAAGCGGTTTTTCAGGGGCAAATAATGTATGCCGTATGGCTGAAAAAAATCTGAAAAAGTTCAGACGGGCCATTAAATTTTTTATAACAATCTTCAGATTTCATCTCCAAAATTTCGTCGTAGATTCATTTCACTTCAGTCTCTATTATTTTTATTATGCTGATGTTGTTATTCATAACATTTTTTTTTACTCCATCGTACTTTGTCAATTAACTTTCTCAGTGATTGTTCTTTTCACAGTTTTCATGTGCGTTCAAACTGTAATGTTTTATCTTGAGAGTTAAGTCAACAAATCTTCATATTTTTGTCGACAACATCCAAGAATGGAACACCATTTTCAAGTTATTAAATCAAGGACGAAATACTGATCTTAACTGACTAGGTCGCGGAAAGTACTTTATTTTAAACAGAACGCGTGAACATCTTGATCTTATTATCAAACATTTTAGGGTATTTTTAATTTACAACATAGCTTTGTTCCTAAGTAAGATTTTTCTACAGATATGTATATATTTTTGTATATAATTGACATATTATAAGTCATGTCATGCAACCCGACTGTTCAATCATTTTTTTGAGGTCATTCCACGCCAACACGGTTCGCTATTAAACTCGTTTTCCGTTACGTACGTTCCAGACATGTTTTGGAAACTTCATACAATCTTTAGATCTCTGATCACGCAACAGAAGCTAGACAATGGCGGATTATGAGTGAGCACTGCCAGAAACTTTCTCCACGCGTCACATTTAGATTTACGAGCATTTCAAATGCATTTCAACTTCAACACTTAAGCCCTGTTAACAGGGGATCGCTGCGACTATGGCTCTGGCCCGAGTGAATAGATTGTGGTTGGATAAAGTTGTGGATAAATCAAAGCAGTCTCAGTGGTGGGTATATGAGAATCGCGATTTTATTCACTAAAACACATTCAGTTTACGTTATAGCCATCTGAAGGCAGACAACTCGTGTAGTTTTATCCACGTGAACTCCAAGTTTACTAATGTCATGTCTTTTTGGGGTTTTCTATAGGATTTACGACCTAATCTTCAGCCCTAATGGCTCGTATATCCTCATTGCTGCTGGAAACTTAATCTTGGTAACTATACATTTACAAACGAAACAGATATATGTGAAAGAAGGTTCTGGGCCTGATTTTCATAGTTTGTTTACAAATGGACAAAGTTGTATTGATTTATTTGAGAAAACGCGTTCTTGCTGTCATCTCCATGTCATAATGCGCTCAAATGGTTCTAACGGCTAAAGTGGTGCTCACGAAATCTTTCGCCACTGTACACGAGATATTGCTTAATTAATTAAAAACAAAATATTTTCCGTGTTAATTGATTTTATTTCCCCGTCATATTAAACGGTGAAATACAAAGAGAATTCAGAAGGTCGCGTATTATTTTTCTACTTCAAGTAGCTACCCCCATGTAAGTCTTTTTTAGGTGATTAAATGGCGTGTGGGATTAGAAAACCGCAAACTGACAGTTGACACTCGGCATTCCAAACAAATCAGTCTATTCAAGGTGGCGATTTGAAAATATGATTTATTAACAGAGCATACGAAAGTTGGCATTGTAAATAATTAAACAAATGAGTACAACAAATGAACCTTACTCTATTCTCCATGATCAAGGAATTAGAGGGATTTTCGTGAGCCGTTTTGGGGAAGGCGGATTAAAGATTAAATGACCGGGTTCTTCACTTAACCTTACCCGCCCTGATCAGCATCTCCTCTTGCCAAAGTAACCATGGGCGAGAGGAGAATGGAGGTTTGATTTTAATTTTCGCCCCTCAAATTAAAACGTTATGGATCATGAACTCAACAAAATGTCTATGACCATTTTATCTTTATGAAACATGATGTGAACTCTCCACCTTTTGATAACGCCCTGTTTAATCTGCGAACATAAAGCTTTAGCAATATTCTGTTTTCTGTACTGTGAGATGGAAACTAATGCATACATTGTTAACTTCAAAGGTGTACGATACAACTGAAGGTGCGCTGGTTGATATGCTGAAAGGACACAGAGACACAGTTTACTGTCTGTCTTATGAATGCACTGGTAAGATAAGCTAACCAGATAGAAACTATCTCCTCTCGCCGGGTCGGGGGCGGGGATACTCTCTTATATGGCTTAAACCGGGACTTACCGCCGCACAGGTTATGGCTCTTGGCCGCAATGCTCTGAAAAGGGGAAAGGATTTCAGGCAAGTCTGTCCTAAACAGGGCCTGATCTTCTCTCAGGAAGACATGGTTGAACGATTTCCTTCTGTAGTTTAATATATATGGTTTATAAAATACTCAGTAATCCGACATAGAGACTTCTTCCGATACTTAAATACTCATCGGTCAACGTCAGATAATTTAATTTTAGGAATTCCACCCAGTTCTTTGCCTCTAGAATAGAGGATGCTGTGTCATAAAAGGTACCTGACGTATTTACGGTGTTTTCTTAGTCCTCATTGGGGTCAGGCGAGTTTCAAATCCCTGGAGGCACCCAAATGTAGGGCAAGTCTTCACAGCTGTGGTTCTCAGTTATCAGATATTACGCGCATCATTAATTACTGTCAACAGAAGCCTACAGGGCTATCTTTGTTTACACCATGACAGTGTTGTTTTATCTTTCAGTCATCAAAAGTTAATTTTAGTCTGGCAAAATTGTAGATACGTGAAACTGATAGAATCTGTGCCATATGGTTATCTGTAGTAACTGTAACAAATTTGAAACTTGAAGTTCTGCAATTTAAACATTAAGAGATATTTTTTGCTGTTAAACGTCAAATGAATTGAGAAAAGTTTCCCTCGCTGTTTGGCAGGAGTTGCACCCAGCCACACAATTGACACTGAATGTTGTAAGTTTTTGTATTTTTGCATTTGATTTTCTTCCCTTCAAACTTGACATTGTAACTAAATTTGCTCTTCTAGACTTTCTAGTTTATACTAAATTGGACTAGTTTCTAAATTTCACATGTAAAGAGCTGATGTCAGTAAAACCCGGTATAGTCCAAACTCTACCTGATTCAGTTCGACTCAGTCATCGGTCAGAAAAATTTACGAACTTTGGTCAAAGCCAAAACGGCCCCAAAGAGTGAATTAATAAGCCAATCCGAACTCATAGGTAAAAATTGTACGACTGGTGGCAAGTGCAGGAAAAGATGTTTGATCGGTTTTGATTTTGAGTCATAGAGACAATTAACGCGATCACTCGAAGTTTAATTAAAGTCATAAAGTCTATTTCAGTGCAATATGTGCACAGGCTCTTAGATTTATGCAACCAGGCACGATTTTGGACATTGTGCTCTTTTTCTTTAAAAACGTTTTTGTTCATGTCACCACTTCCACGGTTTTCGCAACACTTAACGCAACGAAAATTTTGCGAGACAGTCCGTTTCAGGGGGTGTTACAATACTCAACGTCTTGTGCCACTTGTCTCATAAATGGAACAACAAAGTTGCAAGCAAAAGTACCTAGTGCCTATTGTTATTTAGACTCCTCACGAAAGGCCTGAAAGCCGATCAAGCCGGCTGAACTGAGATCTAAAAATCTGAGCAGCTTTGAGAAGTGGCCAATATTGAAGAGATTTTTGGATAGTTTTACATTTCCCGCGATCTTTTGAATTCCCATCAAGCAATGCGCGCTGCAATGCGGCCTTCTCTTTCTTCCCATAGTTCTTTTCGGAATGAAATGTACGAAAAGTTGATATTTTTCTTCGTCCAACATGAGAGCGTTACCAACATGGGTCGATAAAGTACACGATAAAGACAGGGTCGAACAGTGGTGAGAACTTTGATTTTTGCAGATATTTTTCTTTCTTTTTGTGGCTATTCTGATACAAAACATTTTCGCATGGCAGCATTTACGATCTCGCTTTTAAGCCCGATGGAAGTCAACTCATTGTTGCCGCTGGAAACCGAGTCTTGGTAATTAGCAATTCCTGATTTGCAGATTTTTAGAATTCTGAATTTTTTGTGACCTGTGTGGAATATCTTCGTCCCGATTTTCGTAGGTTTATGATACAAACGATGGAACGTTAATTCAGCCGCTCAAAGGTCACAAGGAGACGGTATATTGTGTAGCGTACGCTCGAGACGGTATGTAAACTTCTCCCCCTTCGCAAAAATAATACTTGTGTCAGAAAAGTCCGTGAATTACGATCGGCGTTCGTAATATAGACTTTAGAATTTAGGCTCGTGTAGAATTAGAACTCCTTGTATTCAGTCTGCTAATGCGAATTGGGAGTTGGTTGCAGCACTAGGATAGCGAGCTGAGTAAGATCAAAATTCAATAAATTGTCCAAAACGCATCTTGACATAACGATAAGCCTCAGTTTATTTACTAGTAAAATTGAAGCTCTATTTTTACAGATCCAGAAATCTTTGGATTACTTCTTGGCCATATTTATAAGTTGAAAATGCAGTGTACTTTATTCTTCAATCTGAGTAAAACTCCTCGTTTGTGACAAGCTAGAGCTGAAAAAGTCCTTTGAATGTTAAGTCTAGTTGTCTCTCCCTTGTCAAAGGAAATGTGCATTGTAAATTCTACTAGTTTTGAACATTAAATACCAAAGTGAATGGGAAAATAGTGCCAGGTATTTATCTTAAGTATGAAACTTCAGGGTAATACCTGATGAAACTTAATTGTGTCTTGTCAATTATAAATATATGTCTTGTCAAGACTGAGTACAAAACATAGGGGTCTGTTGTAGGGGGGAGGGGGGGGGGGTGGGAGGAGACTCTCATATGAAAAGTCTGGCTCACAGGTGTAAATCACAGATTTTGTTCGCAGCTAGGGCGGTTAGGACCACATGCTACATTTTTTTAGCCATCAAGGCATGTCAAGGGTTGCACTCAAAGAAATAATTAAAAGAAACACTGTTATTTCAGTTTTAAGTAATATATAGATTTAGGCCAGCCTAGTAATATCTTTTAGGGATCAAGTGAAGCCCTAGCCATACCTAGATTGCTCTCCTTTAGGGGTTTAATTCAATTTTTCTGACAAACATCCCCAACCTTTTCACGTGGGAGTGGCCCCTTCTCCCTGGTTGAAATAAAGTTTGATTCTGGCATGGCTATAGGTGGATGCTTGAGTGAATTCCATATTTACTAAAATAATTTACTAAATAAACATCTTCATAAATTTATTATCCTGAAGTTGATTATCATGCTGATCCCATCATTTGCATCATTTAAAGTACTGATTTAGTAACTTGGAAACGTTTTGGAAGCATTACATCTCTAGCATTACTTTCTCTTTGTAAGAGAAGGACTAAAATATTATATCCTTTTTCTACTATAGGGAAAAGGTTTGCATCTGGGGGAGCAGACAAAAGCGTGATTATTTGGACGTCTAAATTAGAAGGAATTCTGAAATACACGTAAGCCACTTCATGTGATTTAATTCTTGCTCCCAGCTTTTGTTAGCTTGCGCCAATCTGACCTTGCATTACAACTTTCCGCCAGTCGTCGTGGTCATCATCATCATCATCATCATCATCGTCATCGTCGTCATCGTCATCATCATCATCATAATCACAACATGGTGTTATGACACCAATAGTGCGAGACTTTCTGTCAGTACCACATTTTAAACTTGATTTGCTAGGAAAACGATATTTGCTTGCATTTACATTCATTTATCAAATTGCAAAAGTGGAAATGCACAGCTTTAGTTGGTTAAAAGAGATTAAATTTCTAATAACCATTTAGGGAAACTGCGCTAATAAATAAATAAAATCTTGCAGGTCATGCTTTTCAGTCTCCTACTTGTTAATTGTCGTACTGACTAAACATTTTAACGTTTCTTTAGACACAATGATTCTATCCAGTGTCTTGCTTATAATCCTCTCACACAACAACTTGCAAGCTGTACAACAAATGATTTTGGTGAGTAAGTGTTTACATTCACTTGTCAAATTGCATAAATAGAAAGATCTAAAGCATATAAATTTCAATTTAGCTTACAGTGGAACCCCGTTAATCTGGTCACCAATGGGTTGCAAAAATCTGGCTGTATTAACAGGGTGTCTGTATTAATTAACAGGGTTCTTTAAAGAAGAGAATGACTGACTGAGCTTTTACTTGGGCTCAAATGCATGTAAAGTGGCAGTATAGATGAGATGGCTGTAAGGCAGGGTTCCACTGCAGTAAAATTTAACTTGTTTAGTTACTACATGTAGAATTATATATTATTGTTGTTTTTAGGTCTGTGGTCACCAGAACAAAAGTCTGTCCAGAAACACAAAGTCTCCTCACGAGTAACTTCCTGTAGGTGAGTGCATATGGTGAAAAACAACATAAAAAGATAAAAACAACTTTCTTTTACATATTGTTATAGTATAACTGCCTTGTATTACAAGGCTTAGAATTGCCTTAAGCTTGTTTCTTCCTGATTTGCTCAGCATTTTTTTTCCAGTTGGACAAATGATGGGCAGTATCTGGCCCTTGGACTTTTTAATGGCTTTGTTAGCATAAGGAACAAGGTAACAAATATTTTCCTTATATTTTTGGCCGTCATACTAATTTGACCAAATTCTTTCCTTTTCTCAATACTGAAATCAAATGACTAGAATTCTGTAAAGGTCCTGGTATGGAGCATCTCAATATTAGCATTCCACCTTTTACCAGTCCTTATCAATACGATTGGTCATTGATTCTTCTTTCTTTAAATATAATGTGATCATAATACAATTATCTAGAGCGGTGAAGAAAAAGTAAAGATTGAAAGACCAGGTGGATCCCCAGTATGGACTCTGAGCTGGAATCCATCCAAGTAAGTTGTCCTTTCCAATATGAGGTCTCCATAAATCTCCTGCAATACAGTATACATGTATGTATGGATGTGAATGTACCTGGTATAACATATTTATTACGACTGATTCCCTTTCTCCTGATGGAGAATGGGACCATTGATCCTTACAACACAATTCTCCCCTAAGCCACCCTTTTTCTGGCCTCAACCTCTGCTGCCCTTCTTGTCTTAAATTTGATATGTTACTTCTCTTTATAATTTTTATGGTACTCTGCCATGTCTCTTTCTGGGCTGTCCTTTCCAATAACATATTGAGCCATCTTTTGAGATCAATTAAATTGGCTTGTAGTGTAATTTGAAACATTTTTATATTTATTTTACTTCATTATTAGGGAAGAGCCATATGACATTCTTGCTGTGGGTGACTGGTCACAGAAACTCTCTTTCTATCAGCTTAGTGGAAAACAGGTATTGTGTTGCCTTCTGATTGTGCATGTGTTCAATTTTTCCCTCAACCAGCAGAATCTATAATTTATAATAATAATTATTTATTAGTAAAGGGCTGTTTTGTTTTGTTGCAGGTTGGAAAAGATCGTCATCTTGGCTATGACCCATGCTGCCTGAGTTTTTTCTCCAAAGGTGAATACCTTGTCATTGGAGGATCTGATAAAAAAGTAAGTCTGACAATGATTTTTGTTGGAATTAATTGAAATGGCAGATGACTGAAAAAAGTGTAGGAAAAGCAGCATAACTTTTAAACCTTGTACAGCAGTGGAAAGATTTATGAATGGATGGTGTGATATTAAAATATTAAAAGGTCCATTTAGTCTGCTTGCCTTGGTGACCTAACAAATTGTTTAGTCTTACAATAGCTGTTCTGTTAGCTGGGAAACTACTAACTGTAAACCTTTTTTTCTCCCATAGTGCTCACTTCACACAAAAGAAGGTGTGTGTCTGACTTCTATCGGGGAGCAGCAGAGTTGGGTTTGGTGCTGCAGAGTCAGACCTGATTCCAATTATGTAGTAAGAGATGGTTATTTCATGAAGTTATGTCTGGACAATACATGTTTTTGTTTGTATTTATTTTTTGCCTGATGTTAATTGGCCATTTGTGTTCTTTCTTATCTAGGCATTGGGTTGTCAAGATGGTACAATAGCTTATTATCAACTGATCTTTAGTACTGTCCATGGTCTGTACAAAGACAGGTGGGTGTCAGGAACAGGCGCTCCAGAATTGCGAGAAGCACTCCGCTACAACTCATGCTTCTCCCAGCACTTCTCTTGAGTTCTTAAAAATTCCAGGGTGCTTGAATATAACTCAACAATGCACTTGGGCAAATTAACTATGTCCTTAATATTTCTATTTTGACTGCGCTTTTGGTACTGCACACAGGGAGCCGATTTTTCATGTGTCTTATTTCATGTGCCTTAGAAACTAACTTGATTAATGCTTATCATGACCACTCTGACTTTTTATATCAACTCTTTCGTTTGTCTTACTGACGTCACAAGTTACTTGCACAGTGAAACACGTGATCAGAAGAGATTTCTGAGATGTATTAGAACTGCACACTGGACTGTATTTACTGTAATAGAATAATTATTAATTAATTGATGAGTTATTCATGATTTGTATATTTGGTGCACATAGATATGCCTTTCGGGACAACATGACTGATGTCATTATTCAGCATTTGATAACAGAGCAGAAAGGTATGTTTATTGATAGCAGCATATTTGTAGCCTTTTAGTTTTGATATCAAAATATTAAATCCGATTTTCTTTAAATTTCATTAATTCACTGTTGATGATCAATTAATTTCATTCATAAGATTCACTTGTTTTACTTTACTATTAAATATGTTCATCTGAATGATATGCTAGTCAATTGTTGGTCAATTCAGACTATATAGTTTGAAGTTATCTTTTGTTTGCTTCAGTTCGCATCAAGTGTAGAGATTTAGTGAAGAAAATTGCCATCTACCGGCACAGACTAGCTGTAAGTATTATTTGTTGTGTTTCATTCTCTTTTATTACACAGTTTGACAAATGACGTGTTTATTGATCATCTGTTTTATTGTTTTATCTCTCTCAGGTTCAATTGCCTGACAAGATTGTCATTTATGAATTGAACACAGACGACATTTCTGATATGCATTATAAAGTCAAGGTAACCTGAACATTGTCTGTTATTTTATCACCACTTGTAGAGCTATAGATGTGACAGCATGTGATCCCAGCTGGCTTGCTCATCTTGCAATTTTGTATTTGTATTTTTTATTTCAGGAGAAGATTGAAAGGAAATTTGAGTGCAACCTGCTTGTTTCTTGTTCCAATCACATCATTCTTTGTCAGGTTGGTATTTTTAGACTAAGAGTTGATTTAATTTACAGTCCTCACCATTAATAACAAATCTGGTTACTCAGTTGTTTATCCTACATGTACATTTACATATACATCTACACTCCTGTAGGAACTTATATTTATCTAACATGTCACATTCTTTACTATTTAGGAGAGAAGACTGCAATGCTTAGCATTTACAGGGATCAAAGAGAGGCAAGTGTTAAACTACAGTTGAACCCTTAATAAGTGGCCACCCTCGGGGAAATAGGAGGTGGCTGCTTAATAGGGGTTGGCTGCTTAATAGAGGTTGAGTGCTTAACAGAGGTTGGTCTACCTTGAATATTTTCTACCAATGGGTCAATTTCTTAATGAACATGGAGTCACTTCAAGGCCATCATGATAAATGTGTGTTTGGTTGTTTTTATCACTTGTCACCTTCTATTTTGGACTACCATCGCCTTTTCCAAAACAAAGTTTTTAAATTTTGGGTGGCCATTTAACAGGGGTAAAGATAATAGAAAAACCCTCACTGGGACGACCAAAAGGTGGCAGCGGCCGCTTAATGGAGGTGCCCGGATAATAGGGGTTTTATTAGCAGTATTTTACTAACAATAATTTCGGGACTTCAATAACTGGCCGCTTAATAAGGGGTGGCTGTTTAATGGGTGGCCGCTTAATAGAGGTTTGACTGTATTCACTTTTTTTTTCAGCAATCTTTGACTTGGTTCATGCATAAACCTCTGCTGCTGTCGCTCAAACATTTGATAACCCACTTGGCAAATCATTCAAAGAGTGATACTGAGAGTTTTGATGGCACCTTAGAGAATTAAAGCCTGCTACTTTACTGTAATTCTCCTCAAATTCTCTCCCCAGATCTATCTCTTATACTCCTGTTGCCTTGGTGGCCACATTGGAGTAAGGTATAAAATTTAACACTAAGTTGATGTGCATTTCATAATTTTTACTCAGAGAGTGGGTGATGGAATCCTTGATTCGCTACATAAAAGTGATTGGCGGCCCGTCTGGAAGAGAAGGTCTCCTTGTGGGTTTGAAAAATGGTCAAGTATGTAAAAATATGACGGTTATGGTACTTTTGCAGTTTCCTTTTCCTGTTGTTTAAATTGCTTTTGATTAAATCAATTCCCAAAAATATATAATCATAAATGTTTTTGCATTGCTTTTGCCTTTTCACAGCAGACATTTACTTACAGAAGAAGACTTTCAGACATCTGATGTTAAAACATGCAACTGTCTTCTTTCTTGTTAGATCATGAAGATATTTATCAACAATCCTTTCCCTCTGCCACTGCTGAAACAAGAGACGAGTGTTCGCTGCCTAGACTTGAGCACCAGGTGAGTTGAAACAAATAAGGGGAAGTCATGGATGATAGTTTTGTTTTCATGGCCAGCAACAGCATGTCTGACTTGTGTTCCCAAAGTACTAAGTATGATGCTTGCATTCTTTGCTGATGATCTTGTGAGGAAGGAAGAAAGTTAGAAGAGTAGTACTCATTCAGCAATTAACTTTTAATTAAATTTCTTATCCTGTAGTCTTGTAGAAAAACAAAGCATTTTCAACTGCATGCATTTGCTTTTACTTCTCTCCTTAGCTTGACAGAAATGAGAGATTTTGTACCATGTGATAAGTCTTGCCAAGCACCAGTTTAAGGGTGCAGTGTAATGTTTGATTGCTGTTCTGAAGGAAAACTGTCTGTTATGTTGCTTTTTAGTCGCAATAAGTTGGCTGTGGTTGATGAAAACAGCACATGTCTTGTATACAACCTCAGTAACAATGAGCTGCTCTTCCAGGTACAATGTACATTGTGTTTCCTCGTTGTTTAATCTGTCCAGTTTATGTTTTCTTAATAAAAAAGTTGTTTCTCTTCTTTAAGGCTTATACTCTTAAACTACTGATTATTAAACAATTTATCAAGTAGTTATGAATGTACGTGGACAGTTATATAATTTAATTTGTAAAGGGGTCAACAATTGTTGTTGTTGTTATAGGAGCCCAATGCTAACAGTGTGGCTTGGAATACTCATAATGAGGTAAAAGTCCTCATTATTTAATAACATTAAGAGTTAGAGAAATGTTCGCGTAGTGAATATTAATTACGGTAGTGTCTTGGTTTCTTTTATCATAACTATTTAAGCTTTTATTGTGAACTTTGGGAAAAGCTCTCTAATAGTGCCTTTTGTACTGCATATGTGTAGATGGGTGCTGGTAAGTTCATAGGCAACCTAAGAAAAGGCTGGAGGGAGGGGTTGTAAACTGCAATTTGCGTCAAGGTGGGGAGCAAGGGCAGGGAGCAGCATTAGTTCTACCCATGTCATGTTTTGAATCCTATACTAATCTGAGGTTTGGACTGTTTAGTGTCATTACAGTTGTAGCTGCTGTGTAAGCTTGAGAACAATCTTACAGAAGACATTGTAGACCATGTGTCATGTATCTTCTGTAACTTGCTTGATCTTGTTTTCATTTCAGGACATGCTGTGTTTTTCTGGTGGTGGTATGCTAAACATTAAAGCCAGTAACTTTCCTGTGCATCAACAAAAGCTGCAGGTTTGTCATACAATGTAGATTTTATTTAATTGCACTGTATTTAAGTGTAAATGTACAGGCCTCAGTTGCACGAAGACTGGATAATGCTATGCACTTGATAAATCACTATCCAGTGGATAGTGATTTATCAGGTGGATAGCATTATTCACCTTATTAGTAACCCAGGCCAGATGTTTTGCTCAAGGTTCTAAGTTAAAGTCTGATTGGTTGTGATTACATACATGTAACCCTACATTTTAATGTGTTTTCATTCATCAGGGTTTTGTTGTTGGTTTTACTGGATCCAAGATCTTCTGTCTTCATGTTTACACCATGTCTGCAGTGGAAGTGCCGCAGGTGAGATGTCATATCAAATGATGCTTATGACCTACATTTTTTCATAGTTCTTATATTATATGGAGTATTGTTGACATGGTTTCCATCTTGTGTTTCAGTCTGCTCCTATGTATCAGTACCTGGAAAAGAAGTTGTACAGGTATTTATGCCTCAAGTGCATAATTTTGAATTTTTTTTTCCAGCCAGATTTATAAATTTAACTAACATTCCAGTACAGTAACTATAGTAAGTTACTCTAAGCATTGATTTGGCAGCACAAACGTCAAACAGCACTAATTCAGTACAACATACCATGCTATACTTTCAGAAGAAACAGTTACATGTATGTAGAAGAGAGTATTGCTTTTGTTTGAACTGTTATTGGTATTTTCTATTTTAGAGATGCTTACAAAGTTGCCTGTCTTGGTGTGACGGAGGGAGACTGGAGAGCCCTTGCTATGGAAGCATTAGAGGTTCTCATTAATTAATTCATAACATTATTCAGAATTGAAACATTTTGCCAGGTTCTATCAGATGTTTATATTGCTTCTTGTTGATTTCTGTTAAGTTTGTTACTTTAGAATGGTCATACTTCAGTGCAATGAGGATATTTATTTAGCACTTCTGTTTATGTTTTAGGGCCTGGATTTTGACACAGCCAAAAAGGTAGAGCAGTATTTTGATTTAATATTGTGTATTGTTGCAGAGAACTATAAAACTTTCTGAATTAATAATAGCACTTGCAGGAAGCTTAGAAAATTGTGATGGTGATATGATGGGAAATTGTTTAAGTGTTGTCCTTGTGAAAAAAATTGGACTAAAAATTTAACAGTTAATCTGCCCTTTTCAACAGGCTTTTATCAGAGTGCGGGATTTGAGATATTTGGAGTTAATTCATAACATTGAGGTTTGCACCAGTCATTGCTCTCTTACGATGTAAATGTCATGCCAGATTCTGAAACACAGGAGATCGCCAGCAATGTTCCAGAAATTAATCCTTCAATGTCTTATTTGTTTTGTAGGAACGTAAAAAGAGAGGTGAAACAGATGAGCAGGCTTTCCTAGCAGATGTCTTTGCTTATCAGGTTTGTTAAATTGCACTCTTTAGAGCGGTTTCTAATTGAGTGTCAAAAGTATTCAGGCAATGACTTTGAAACGTAAATTAATTGTAGAGTTTTTAAATTCGTGATTATCTAAATTAGAATGTAATATTATTAATTTTAGTATATTAGTATTTAATTGTAGTATTGTACCATATTGTCTTCGAAAAGCCCCCATGGGGAAAGATAATAAAGAATGTATGTATGTATGTATGTATGTATGTATGTATGTTTTGATTTTGGTATTACTGCAATTTCAGATTGGCTGAGTAGTCTAATTGCCAAAGTAATTGGTTTTGTTTTGTTTTATGACACTCAATTGAAAACTGCTCTGATTATTGTCTTTACTGTGCTCTTTTGGCATTAATTTTAGTCTCCATGAGTTTATGTCTGCAGCATCCATGTGTCATCTCTTTTGTTTTAAAAATCAGGAGTGGCGTACCTCAGATAATAGCATTCAGTTTATGGAAGTGTTCTTTATTGCTAAACTATATATACCTGCTAGCGTGTGGCGTAAGTTTCACAACACAAGTAACATAACTTGTGCTGTTCACATCACACATAGCTCTTGAGTGGTGTTTTTGGCTCACAAAATAGATGAGAAGGCTTTTTTGACAGAATAGTTTGTGACTGGTCATTCACGTGGCAAGTGACCATCTAACTGGCTTATTATGTTTGGTTGACTAATTAAGATCATAGCGCTGCAAGGTTTGTAACAAGCTACAGCTACCTAGCCCTTTACATACCTTGAGCACTGATGATGCAAGGACTATCTAATGCATGTCTCACAGACTAGATAGACTACGGTATCTATATTCCAGGGTAGTTAACGTTTGGAGTTTCAAATTTTTGTTGTTTTTAGGGCAAATTTCAAGAAGCTGGGAAGCTGTATAAGAAAACTGGAAATGATGAAAAGGTATGGTACATGTATGGTTGTGCTATTAAACTGTCTCTTGCAGAGAGGTTGGGTTTGCAAAGGGGTTGATCCTGACAAATGACACTATATCCATTGGAGACTGTAAACTTTTCCGATATTTTTTGCCTACTATTTATTAACTATTTTGACAATAATGTTTTTAAAACAACTTCCAGTGCAGTGCAACCTTACTTACTGCTTGCAAATTAGTATGTCTCCAACAAACATTTAACAGTGCAATCTTATTACAGGTTATTCATGTCCAAGATCGAGTGACATACAGTACCCATCATCTTTCCTTTCTCTCCTTGTGGAGAATGGGGCCATCAGTCTGTTTCTTCCAAGCAACTTGGTGTTTTGTTGGTCTTCCCCCTTCATGGCTTGAATAGGCCCTTTGCAGCTGGGGTCACGTGACCAAATTTTTCCTAAAAAATTTTTGTATTATGGGCTATAACTTAAAGAATGCCAGAAATGGACAGAGCGCATCGAAAATACCAAAATGGCCAAGTTTGAGGTCCCAGGAAAAAACGAGTAAGTTTATACCATAGTTTGAATTTT